TGAATTGCAACTGATAATGAAGCTCAAAATGTGCCCTCCTAGACTAAATCAAGACGTAGGTTTCCTGTCTCATTAGCAATGCTGATTTCTCCATGCCTAGTATCCCTTTGCATATCACACAATCCATTCACACTTGCTGTTGTCATTTGCCTGCTAATGTCATTTGGCATATGAAATCACTCCACTCTCCAAAGTGTAAGGACAGATGGACTCACATTCTAGGTGTATCTGAAGAAGTGAGCAGTAACTCACGAAGCCTCCTACCCTGCCACAAATTTTGCTAGTCTTTAAGGTGTCACTGGACTCTTGCTCTTTTCCACTACACATCTAGATGTACAGGTGTTGCAAATGTGAGAAACCTTCAGGTGGTATCGGTGGTTTGTTCCGGATGCTGGAAGGGCTCTGAGAGTTTAATCTCGAGAGAACCAGTGCATAGTTCAGTGGTTAAGGGCACAAGCTATATTCCTGCCATTCCTGCTTCAAATCTGCGTTCAGCCGTGAACTCTCAGACTGGCTTTAGGGAAGCCATCATCTTGGAACGTCCCCTGGACCAGACACCATGTCTCTGTCCCTTCCCGCTCTCACCTCGTGCTAAAACGGGGAAATCTTCAGATTACTAAAACAATACGGTGAAGTGGTCTGGGACCAACACATCTACCGGACCGTCTCTCCTGGTACGCCTCCCCCCCCCCCGAGAGCACTGGGCTCCACAAACAACAACCATCTGGTGGTCCCTGGCCCCCCAAATGTATTCGTCTCATGTTGGAACGCCCTTCCAGGTGAGATCTGGGCCCTGCGGAATCTGATTCAGTTCCGCAGGGCAGGTAAAACCAAAACGTTCCTCCAGGTATACGGTTGAGGTAGTAAGGTCTTCCATCTAATCTGGCCTCCCCCAGCTCCCCTCCCCGTCTCGCCGCCCATTACGCTGTGTGCCAGCTCTATAAACCACACAGCTGCACAACCCCACCTGGGTACTGCGTGGTTAGTGACTTAAGTACTTTGATGATTATTGTATGCAATTGTTTTTAATAATCCAATTGTTGTTTTAATTTGTCGTACCCTTGCTGCAGAAGGGGAGGGCAGGTTAGAAATCTAATGAAATAAATAAAATACGCGTTCTGATGGCTTACTGAGATCATATGACGTATTGTCCAGCCAATTCCCCTTGCTTTCTCTGTACAGCTGTTTTGATCTTTGCTGACCTGGAGAGAGTTTTGATACTCGAGCCGGCCCCTGACGGCAGGTGCGCTTGGGGCATTTTGCTTCCAAAGCATGGAGAGATCCTGTTAAAACCTCTCGGGTTGGAAACCTGCTGTAACAATACTCATGAGTGTGTCATACACCCCCTCCTGTTTCACGACAGGTCACATCTCAGAACATTTTCTCATGGGTCAGTAGCATGCCAAGTTGTTCTGTCCCCTGCTGGAATTAACGGTCAGGGCGGACGGATAGAGGCCAGTGCCCGCCTCTGCGTAGCAACCCTGGACTTCCTTGGTGGTCTCCCATCCAAGTACTAACCAGGGCCGACCCTGCTGAGCTTCCAAAGTCCCACAAGATCAGGCTGGCCTGGGCCCTGCAGGTCAAGGCGGAGTGATACCTTATCCAGGCAAAATTGAACACAGGCCCCTGAAACAGCAGCTCCTAAAGAATCCAAATAAAATGGCGCATAAACCTGGTGGATGGGATTTTCCACCAATGCTTGCGTGTTTTATCAATCACCTTCATCTCCTCTGCTTGGAATAAAACCGATGAACCTGAGGCAAGCAAGGTGCCCGGCAGGATCAGCGTAAACAATGGTTAAGATATCTGATTGGCGTAGGCAGACTGTACGTGACATACCATGGGGGTGGGGGTGGCCTCCACTAAACGCAGCAACACTCCTGGTAACAGGTTTTGAAAGTACCGTAGGCTCGTTCTCTCTGTCATGCACACTTTTATTTTCACTCACGGGACTTCATGATGAATGCCTTGTTTACCTGTCACTGGGACACATTGTCCTTGTTTACCTGTCAGCAGGATATTCGTTCCCTCTCTTCGAGGAGTTGTTGGCGATTCAGCAAACACGTTCTGCTTCTGGTTCTTAAGAGAAGATGGTCGGGGATGTGGTGCATATAGGAAGTACCAGGGGTTTTCTGAGATTTAAACCTTAGCAGAAAGGGATAACTCCTGGCCTGACCTGCCCTCTAAAGTTGATAAGTACATTCTGCCTTAGTCCCTTTGAAGGAAGGGTGAAGTTACGAGTAGTAATAAATAGTATCTAAAATCTCAGAACTTTCCCTTTTCTCTTGCTTTCTTGTGGTTCCGTGCTGCATACATTTCCTGTGTCGAGAAGCTGCCATCTCTTCCGCTGGCAGATTTCAGAGAAATACAGCGTGAACGTTTTCTGCCGTTTATTCGCAGGCAAACCCGTGTGTGAACTAATAACTTAGGCATCGGGGCTCACAGGTTATTTACCCAGCCAGATTTCCCCAGAAGCAGGTCTCCTGCGACGCCAGGCTCGTACAAAGTCATGCTGATTTCCCGTGTTTCCTTCTGATCGCATCTGAAATATGCAGCTCAAATTTGAGAGCAAATCTTTTGAAATGACTCCTGGTCCTTAACACGCCATTTAAATTTGGCTGTGTAGTCCTCCGGCGGGAGCTGCCGTGTGTCTCTGAATGTCTTTATTCATCATCATCTCTCCCTCCCTCCCCCCCCCTTTCCTTGGCAGACTGAGTGCAACCGACTTTCTTGTCTCTTGCATCTGCTATTTGACTATTCCAGTCACACGCAGGCCTCCGCCGCTCTGCGCTGGGAACAGTTTGTGCCCGTAAAACGGAAAGGGAAGGGAACGGCACTGGGACCGGAGCTTGGAGTAAACATGACGGTGTAGGATACCTGCAAAAATAGCTTTGTTGCTCTCCCCTGCCCCGGGAAAACCGGACTACCAAGCTGTGTGTTTGGCAGATGTTAACCGTGTCTCTATGGTTGCATTTCGGTGACTCTCCCCAAATAATTTAAATGTAGCTTATTTCCTGTATTCTGTGGGTTGGGGAAGGAGGATAATAGGAGGCCTGTGCTCTTCTTTCCCTCACTCCTTCCCAGTCATGAGATATTAAGGGTTGGGTCCGAACATCTTTTTCACTCCGTCTCTCTTCTGATTCTCTTCCTCTGTGCAGCCCCCTTCTAATGTGGTTTCTGTCGATGCAGGTCCCCTGATCTCTGGCATAGACTTTTGGGTCAAGGAGGGACATGTTTTCACTAGCAGGAAAACTGGCAGGATCCAAGCTTGAGTACCTGAAACTAGACTTACAAACGAGGGGGCAGTCATCTCCCACGTCTTAATTGCCCTGCTTTTTAATTTGATCTGGCTTCCTCCAGTTCCCCCCACCCCTTTTTTGGAGGGAGAGGGGAGCAAACACACAGACATCTTCCATGGATGCATTCTGGCAGCAGTGGCCATTTTCTCCTCTGTCAGAAGAAAGAAGAAGAAGAAGAAGAGATTGGATTTCTACCCCGCCCTTCCCTACCCAAAGGAGTCTCAGAGCGGCTTACAAACTCCTTTCCCTTCCCCTCCCCACAACAGACACCCTGTGAGGTAGCTGGGGCTGAGGAAGCTCTGACACTGCTCTTTTTCAAGAACAGCTCTGACAGAACTATGGTCATCCAGCGGGTGCAAGTGGAGGAGTGGGGGATCAAACCTGGTTCTCCCAGATTAGAGTTTACGCACTTAACCACTACACCAAAGCTCCTTGCTCCATACTAAAGCATCACGGCTGGCAGAACGGATCCGTGAGAACCACTGCACCGTGATCTGCTGTCTTATGCTCAGCCCAGTGAGAAAACTAGCTGTGACTCCTCTATCTGCCTGCTGTATTCTGACTCTAGGGCTGCACTGTGACCACACAGAGGCCACCGCTTGCCCCAGGCGAAAATGTTTGCATCCCAGTCTTTCCAAACAAATGTGGCTGCCTCCTGCCCTTTGGGGTGTTAAATGCATGTTTGTTTGCTTATTGGAAAAGTATTTACTATCTCTGCACACTCAAGGTGGCCGACAACTCTGATAGCTGCAGGACAGAGATTCATGAGCATGCAGCATTAAAATTCAATGCGCAATTAAGCATAATGAAAAGCAAATTCACAACAGCGCTTACTTCTGCTTTTACAGGCTTTATAAATCAAGCAGGAATCTTCCACTGGCTGGAATCTTGGCCAGTTTGGTGTAGCCCGTTCGGTGTAGTGGTTAAGAGCACGGACTCTAACCTGGGAGAACTGGGTTTGATTCCCCACTCCTGCTCCACATGGAGTCAGCTGGGTGACCTTGGGTCAGTCATAAGTTCTCTGAGAGCTGTTTTCTCGGGCAGTTCTCGACAGAGCTCTCTCAGCCCCACCTACCTCACAGGGTGTCTGTTGTGGGGAGGGGAAGGGAAAGGCGATTGGAAGCTGCTCTGTGACTCCTTTGGGTAGTGAAGGGTGGGGTATAAATCCAATCTCTTCTATCTCCTTAGAAGAAGGAGCCCAAATTTTGAAAAGGCAGGATGGGTGTGGGTGGGGGAGCAGGGGACTGCCAAGGTTTCGGACAGGAAACAAACATCATGCAGAGGATGTTATCTGAAATATGCAGAAGGCTCTTAACGTTGAGAAGAGAGAGAGAATGATTGCTGTGATCTGCCACTTGACATTCAGAGTGTCGCTCACCACTGTTGATTGCCAGGTGCCAATCGGTGTTTTTGCATTGGATATCTGAGCCCCCTGGAAGTTGTTTCACCCCTCCGAATCAGGATCATTTGAAGATAATTTTCTTCTCTACAGAGCTGTGAAATAATACGTGCCTTGAGATGAAGTTCTCAATGAAGGGCACACAGTTATTTATCCACAAGGGCAGAGCTTTTATGGACGAGAGGTTCTCTGTGTTGGCTGCCGCGGCGTCTTAAAGTGTTGCTGAAAGCCAGTGTCCTGCCCAAGAAACTGGCCTGAATGCTTCAATTAACTTTCCCCTCTGCTCTTTTTTGTTTTTAAAGGTGAAATTGTGGTCAACGAAGTGAATTTTGTGAGGAAATGCATCGCCACCGATACAAGTCAGTACGATCTGTGGGGGAAGCTGGTCTGCAGTAACTTCAAGATCTCCTTCATTACGGATGATCCCATGCCCCTTCAGGTTGGTTACATGGATACCCTTAGCCATATTGATGTCTGTGCAGGATCAACTTGGGCACGCATGCATTGAGATCAGTGTTCCCTCTAAACTGTGCTAGGGGATGCTGGCACACAGAATTTTAGCTGGCTGCTCAGTGATTTTAGTTTCCAGCTCACAAGCATTTTCCCCCTCCATTGGAAACAATGGAGATGAGGCACCTCCTTCTGGGGGCCATAGAATTGGACCCCCTGGTCCAATGTTTCTGAAACTTGGGAGGGGGGGTTGAGAAGAGGCACCAGCAACTATGCTACAGTGGTCCCCATATGCTATAATGGAGCAGGAAAAAATAGATTTTTTTTTTTTGCATACCCCTTATGCTTTTCATTACGATTTGTAATTTGCCTTGAATTACAGTAAAAGTGGGATATAAATATCTGAATAAATAAGTAGTTTGGGCAGGTTGATAACATTTAAGCAACTTCTGGTTTGTTAGGTTAGGCAGGGTTCTGACAGTGGTTGTTCCACCTCTGTCATACTTGACCTGTAAATTTGTCATATTTCACTAAAAAAAATTCCCAAAATATACTTCAAGAGTCGTCCCCTCCCCCCCCCCCCCCAAGGCCGGTTTT